TAGTGTTGGTGTATAGAAAAGCAACTCATTTTGGTGTAGTGATTTTAAACCCTTCAACTTTACTGATTCAACAGTTTTTTAGTTGAGTCTTTTTTTTTTTTTTTGCCACACCCCACAGCATTCAGCATCTTAGTTCCCTGACCAGGGATCAAACTCACACCCCCTTGCAATGGAAGCATGGCATCTTAACCCCTGGACCATCAGGTAAGTCCCTAGTTGAGTCTTTTATATCTTAATGATTTTTAAAATATCAACATTGCATTTATCTAGCCACACATTGGTTTGTAACATGATTAACAATCTTGTTCATAACAAAAAAAATGCATTCAACTTTCATGTCACTACCTATTTGTGACCTTTTGTATCAACATTTATCATTTTTACTTGATCACTGGATACTTTGGATGCATTTTCATTCATTGCCTAGAATGATTATAGGAAAATCATGTTGAAGTGAACTTTGGGTCACTCTCCTCAAGCATTTTTATGGCTTTAGAGAAAAAGACCTGATGGAGCTCTATCAAACCTCAGCTCAGTCCTTTTCTCCACTAAGAGTATGAGGGTACAGCAGGGGCTCTCCAGGTATATGAGGGGTTCTGAATTCTCTCACATCCTCTTCTGGGCTAGATTAAATCCTGCTTCATTGGTTGGAGTATGGCCCAGGTGGTGGTGGTGGTGACAGCATATTTTGTTCATTTCAGTTGACTCATGTCCTTAATGTCTCACAATTTCCCTCTTGTCTGACAACTTAGTCTCTAAAATGAACCTTAGTCCAGTGCAAGGGGCAATATTCCTCACTGGGAATGTGCCACAGGAAGAGGGTTGGCTATGAAGGAGACCTACCTCTGTTTAGACTCCAGACTGAGCCACAAGATCCTTATTGTTCCATCTCTCATCTCTGTGAGACCTGCTCAAGGCTAATCTTCTGCAGTTCTGGTTGCTACCCTCTCTCACCATCAGACTTTAGTTAAGAATATTAGTCACAATTGGCTGGCTAAGCGCAAGAATGTGAATTATTGCTAAGTTTCTTAGATATAGTATCAGTGATATGGTTATGTTGAAAAGTGACCTTTTTAGGAGATGCATGCTGATGTATTTTGAGGTCAAGTGTCATAGTATTTCACTTTCAAATAGTTCAGAAAACCAAATACACTCATAGAACACATGTGCAGTACCATACTGTTTTTCATTAATTCTCTGCTTATAAACAGGAAAACTGAGATGATGGAAGAGCTATTCATAGGTTAAGGTATCAGAATTATACATAATTATGCCAGAGGGTGATTCATTAATCCTGAAGGTATTTCTGCTCTTGGCAGGGAGAAGCAACTGGGTGGAACTGCATCAGTTTCAGGACTGTCTATCCCAGACTCCAAACTGACTGTAATTTGGAGAGAACATCAAATGTGAAATGAGCATGGCTGGGTATCTGTAATTGAGCACTGGTTGGGAGAGCTATGTGTAGCCCTCATAACTGGTATTAAAAATAACCTAAAGCATAAGCAAAGGGTTCAGTCTGGTTGCCAGGCAACCCTGCTGCCAGCTCCCTTCAAGCTGACCTTTATTTTTATTTTTTTCTATCCACATCTCTTAACATTTTCACCTTCTCAATCTCCCTTGATTCATTTAATATTTAATGATTATTGTTTGTGAGTTGGGGTGGTCCGGGACAGGCCAAACCACAAGTTCTGAAATTCAATAGGCAGACCCTTGCCCCCAAGCATCTTACAGTCTAATAAAGTAAAAAGGTAAGTATATAATTATCTTGATTATGTTCCTTTAACATAATCCTTTACTAGTTGTAATGCTTATCAGCAAATAACCTTTTTCCAAATAAAGTAACATTTACAGGTTCCAGGGATTAGAACCTGGTATTTTGGGGCACATTTTCAGCCTTCTATAGATCGGGGACTTTGGAAGCCCACTTAGAAGTGAGGCCACTTAAGTTCTTACTCAGTTATCTGAGGGGCTGGCTGGCTAATCAAGGTAAGCAGTATTTAAAAATGGTATCCTGGGACTTCCCTGGAGTCCAGTGGTTAAGACTCCATGCTTCCACTAGGCGACACAGGTTCAATCTGTGGTTGGAGAACCTATTTCCTGCATGCTGCACCGTGTAAAAGAAAAAAGTATCCTGATTCTCTGTAAGTCAAGCCTATGGCACTTTCTTTTGCTTACTTTACCGGTGTTTTTCTTTAAGCTCTCATTAACTAATCTAGTTATACCTTATTGCTTGAGAATGTAAGTCGAACTGTAGCAAAATGACTGACCTAAGAAGAGTTCAGTGCATACAATTTTCATATCATATATTTACCAAAATATCAATAGTTGGTTGTAGATCTTTGGGGTCTATAAGTTCAACCCATACTCTTCTTCCCTGAGAACTAGCTCCCTTACATGTGGGGGCCCCTTTGGCAATACTGATACTAAATGACAACATCCTCCTGATCAGAGGTGATTGTATCAGAGTTAGGCCCATGACAAGTGAGACCAATCAGATTATCTTCAGGGCCTTGGAACTTAGACACTACTCACTCGGGTTCTGGAATTGAAAAAGGTTGCTGATGTAGCCCTAGAAGGCCATCTTTTGTCAGGTCAAAGAAGCAGAGATAAGTGACCACAGGGACTGAGAGACAGAAAGTGTAGGTGTTTTGGTTCTTGACGGCTTCCCTGTTTAGAAATGCAGAGTCAAGCTACATTTTTGTTCTGGGTTCAGAGAATTCTGCACTTTACCCCCCAAAGTAAATTTCCCTTTTCATTGAGGCAGTGGGTACCTGTTATCAGCAACCAAAACAAGTTTAAAATTAATGTTTCAATCCTGGTTTAAATACTTCTCACCTTGTTCCCATAACATTAAAGCTCAATAGCTAAAATAATGCTGCACTTGGGTAATTTCCCAAAAGATTTCTCTAAAATCTCCAGAGATGGCCCATGATTATTAGTCATTGCTGAAATTTTAATACATATTAGAATCACTGGACAAACACAATATTACTATGATGTTGGTTTCCTTTCATAAACAGTAGCATGGAAGGGACCTTAGGGGATGTCTAATTCAACCTCTATATTTTCAAGAAAGGAACTCAAGGCCCAAAATGGCCAAGAATTTTGCCCAGTTCTGGGATTAGAAACTGTGTTTCTGTCAATACTCAGACCAAGGTCCTGTCAATGGATATTTCAGGGCCAAGATGGTAGTCTCCTTGCTTTGTTTTATTTTTTTTTTAGGTTGTCCAGTCTGGTTTTTTTTTTTTTCCATTTATTTTTATTAGTTGGAGGCTAATTACTTTACATCTCCTTGCTTTAAATTTCAAGATTAATGAATCAGTTCTAATGAGATGGATCAAACTGGAGCCCATTATACAGAGCGAAGTAAGCCAGAAAGATAAAGACCATTACAGTATACTAACACATAGATATGGAATTTAGAAAGATGGTAACGATAACCCTGTATGCAAAACAGAAAAAGAGACTCAGATGTATAGAACAGACTTGTGGACTCTGTGGGAGAAGGCGAGGGTGGGATGTTTCAAGAGAACAGCATCGAAACATGTATATTATCTAGGGTGAAACAGATCGCCAGCCCAGGTTGGATGCATGAGACAAGTGCTCGGGCCTGGTGCACTGGGAAGACCCAGAGGGATCGGGTGGAGAGGGAGGTGGGAGGGGGGACCGGGATGGGGAATACATGTAAATCCATGGCTAAATCATTTCAGTGTATGACAAAAACCACTGCAATGCTGTAAAGTAATTAGCCTTCAACTAATAAAAATAAATGGAAAAAAAAAATTTCAAGATTAAGCAATATTTATTGACTGCCCACATAATTGGTCAGGACTCTTTTATTAATAGTTAACGAGTTTAAAAAAAAGGCTTTAGGAATATACTTGTTTCAGGCATAGCTGGTTCTAGGCTCAACATTACTGTGAGGAGTCTTTCTCCCCATCCCTAGGCAAGACTTTTCACAGGTGAGGCACCTACAGACTCATCCTATCAGCTTAACTACCTCAACTGTAAAAACCTGATTAGTCTTAGACTTCTCTGTTATATGAGCCGATAAGTTCCTTTTTATTTCCTTAAGTCAATTTGAATTTGGTTTCTGTCATCTGCAGCAAGCATTCTAAAATTGAGCTTATCAAAGAATTCTCCACAAACCAGCATAATGGTAACTAATCAGATTCTCTCTTTAAAACTCTGAATATAAGAGTAGGCAGTTAAAGCAGAAGCTGAAAGAACATGCAGAAAAATCAGCAATCCAGGGTATGATGAAAACTTGCTCTAGACACAATGTCTTGGCTTCTATTCTCAACCTCTTCTATCTACCTCATATCTTCTGCTTAGTCAGAGTTTCTGCTTATTCATAACTTCAGCTTATTCTTGGTCCCAACAGCATCACAGCCTGGACGGCTGCATAATATCCTAAACTGATTTGACCCTGGAACACTTTTCTTAGAAATAGCAAAAGGCGATTGTCAGTGAAGTATTCTGGGCTTTACACAGAACAAGCAAGAACAGGTTTCCTCTTTCAACTTGGTAAAGATCCTTATGACATCCTGGAATTACTAATGTTATAACTAATGTGGTGACCACGTTTGGATCAGGATGTGGGCTTTCCTAAGGCAAGAGGCTTGACAAGACAATAAAGATCCTTTGCAGGTAAGTAATTGTGCCTGCAGTTTTCTTGGATCCTCAAGTTACTTAACATCTCTGAGTTTTGATTCCTGTGGCAATAAAATGAAGGATATCACCCACTTCATTAATCTGGAATATGAAATGAAACACATGTAAAATGCTGGAGCACAATCAGGACTCAGTGAATATTCGTTCTCTTTCCCCAAATTTTAATATGTCATTTACCACATGAAGTGTTATCCAATTATCTCCTTTTACTCACATGTTATGGAATGGTATTATTCCACATATGACAAAGAGTTTAAACAAAGAATGAGGATTTATTTTTAATTTATGAAATGTTTTGCTGCGGCTTTTCAAATGTTTTATTGGATTTAAAATTCTTTTAAGGGATACACTGATATACAACTAGTTTGATCAGCTACCAATATATTTTGATACCCTTTTATTTTTGTACTTAACAGCCAGTTCACTTTTTCTCCATGTTCAATACTTAACTTTGGTAAAATTTTGCCATGTTCATCTTCACCTGTTACTAAAGCAAGAGTGTTTCCACCTTGCTTGGTGTAAGTTGCCCTTTTGGTTTTCTTCCTGTGAGTATGTTTGGTTGGACTCTTATGTTTTTTTTCAATTTCACTGCTTACATCCCACAGCTTTATCTTTCCATCATTCCCTCCAGTAAGCAGCAAATAGGATTCTCGCAGAAAGCAGACTTGGGAAACCCCCAAAGTATGGCCCTTAAATCCCAGTTCCTGTTCACACTTGACTCCCATCACCCTAAAGATTCGAACCTTACCATCTTCTGCACCGCAACTAAAAACATTGCCACACGATGCCACAGACACAGAGTGGGCTAAGGCAGGGTTTAAAAGCTGACCAGGTGATTGTGGACTTTCCATTTCTTCTGTTTCATCCTCCTGTAAATTTGTAATCCAGAGTGGCCGGGCTTTCCGAAGGTTCCACAGCATCACCTTTAAATAAGAGGAAGTTACACAGTTAGAGTTCTAAATAGTTTGTTTCATGAACATGCTTATTCTGCTTCTAACAAAATCACCAAAGTACTCTGAGAATGATTAGCAGGATACATTCCCAGCAATATTAAACACAAATTCAGATGGCACCACAACATGCCAGTGGGATGCTACCCTGGTGCCAAAACTAGAATGCCAATGGGCAGCAAGGAAGGTATAATCTAAAATCAAGCTCCTGAGTAACTCTGGATCAACAAACCCTTTAATGTATAATCCAAACTCTTAAGCAGATGCCAATTTCTTTAAGTCATCCTACCCTAACTGCTACAAGTAAAACTGAAAATGAGGAGATTTATTAATTTTAGCCTATGCTTGTTACAAGCAGAAATACCTATCAACTATATACACTAAACCCAGGATCAAACCTGGGTCTCCCACAATGGAGGCAGATTCTTTCCCATCTGCACCACCAGGGAAGCTTAATGCCTAGCATAGTACCTGGAGAAAAGAGCAGAAATTCTAAACAAATCTGCTAATTTGACATCCTGGTATACTTGGCTTTTTACTGTTGTTCTCTACCATGATCTTGGACCTACTAAGTGGATTTAGATAAAATGTGATTTAAAAACCCATGTACACCCATGGCTGATTCATGTCAATGTATGGCAAAAACCACCACAATACTGTACAGTAATTGTACACAATATTGTAAAGTAATTAGCCTCCAATTAAAATTAATTAATTAATTTTTAAAAAAGAATGTGGTAAGAAAGGAAAAAAAAATTTAAAACAAGACAGTAAGTTCTGTGAATTGATTTTACTCCAAACTTCAGCAATTGTCTTCCTGTAGCAACCAACTTGAAAAAGAAAATATTCTTCATACTTTCAGAGAGAACAGACAGCTTTATTTTACCATCTAGTACCATCCTTGAATTATGACTCATGATTTAAAAGGGACACTAGGATAAGCATGACCTTGTTTAGTTAAAAGCACAGATCTGAACTGACAATATTACCACTGCTGATTATACTAAGGTTTGGTTTGCTATTCAAAGTAACTTCCTTCAACTCAGCCTACTTTCAAAAGAAGTGACACTCAAAAGTGAATGCAAGCATATCAAAGTGACCCTGCTCAAAAATTTCTCATACAAAAACATTTCTTTCCACATAAAAGATTCATTTTCAAGGGGAAAAAAAGGCTCTTTCACTATCACTTTTTCTATTTAAACCTATCTAAATCAAAGGATCTAATTTTTATAATTTCTCTAATAACAAAGATAGGTATGTTGAATTTATCTATTATGTGTGGCAATAATTCAGTTCCTGCCTTGAGATAAAACACCTTGTTCAGAGATAAATTGCTCTCATTAATCTGATAAAAACTCCCTTCCACTATTATACCGACATTCTTGGACCCCTCCATACGCTGGCTATTCTTAAAGTTCAGAAAAATACCAGATAGCCAGATTTTAAGAAGCAAACTGGAAGAAATTATAGTTTCAACTCCAGTTAAAATAAGTAATTTCAGTTAGAAGTAATGACTGTACTATCTTAGTCACTTTTGTTATATATCACAAACCAATGCAGCAGTTAATCTACAGTGAATTTTTAGCAATTCTTGACAAATCAAAAAGCAAAAGACCTCCTTTCACAATATATTTATTTCTTATAGTATTCTCTAACACCTGCCTGGCATTAAACCTTCTCATCTAGAACTGGAGGTAAAATGGTAAATTCTGGATGCCTGCTTCTTGTCTAATCTGTGACTGCTATACATCTAACTGGTTGACTGCCGTGCCTAACAGTTAATGAACCAGTGATTGAAAACTGGTATAGCTTAAGGATGAATGAATGAGTAGTCAGACACTGTACAATCAGCCTACTTAAAGCAGATGTCTGACTGGTTGTGTAGGTCTTTCTGCCCAACAAAGTAAGCAGATTATCTTCACTAGTGTAGAAAAATGTAGATTTATTAAAGTTTTGGGCAAGACCTAGGAGTAGAAAAGGAATTTTGATGTCATGGGATCGCTGTGCCCTGTGGGTGTAAAATGATTCTCAACAGAGGCACTACAAATTTTTGGTAGGATAATTTTTTTTTTTTTCCATTTATTTTTATTAGTTGGAGGCTAATTACTTTACAACATTGCAGTGGTTTTTGTCATACATTGAAATGAATTAGCCATGGATTTAGGTAGGATAATTTTTAATTGTTTAGGGGCTGCCCCAGTGCAGCAGGACATCCACTGATTCTTCCTAGTAAAAAGACCAGTAGCTTGGGGTCGGGGTGACAGTCAGAGTGACAACAACTAAAATTAGTCTCATTTATTTCTAAATTATAAGGAGGTGTGGAGGATAGAGAAGTGGTAAAGATCACTGGCCTGGAAGTGACCAGGAGTCTTACAGGATACTATAAGCAGTTGAGAAAGTAGATCAATGCCTAGAACAGTGTTGGGCACACGTATCATCTATTTAAATAAATATCTTTGGTGTCACAGAGAAAAAATATAGACTTTAAAGTCAGAGAGATTGAGGTTTGAATTCCAATTCAGACAGCTGTGGGAAACCTCAATTTGAATCTGTTTCCTCATTTGTTAAAAAGAAACAGTGTGATCAGGGTGTGATTAGAAAGAAAACTAATATACGTAAAGCAGTGTAAAGTGGTAAGTGATCACCAAAGGGAAGCCATGCCTATTCTCACTCCAGTGATTTAGAATAAAACCCATAATAGATCCAGGCCCTCTAACTTTTTTTTTAAACTACAAACTTTATGGAGAGTGGGTAGGTGATAAACTCTGTCTTTAGTATGGTTTGTTTAAACAGATGTTTAGAATCAAATATTCAAATTCTCATGTTTTAAGAATGTCTTAAAGCATAGAGAAAAAGTAAAAGATTAATAATTACTTTGTTAATCTACTAGACTTTGTCAAGTTAGCATTAAACACTCAGTAGACATAAAGTTTACGGTTCCTAAATACATAAGGCATGTCAGTACAGAATAGAAAATGCCAAGATATATTTAGCCCAATCAATAATTTGATTCTATTTGCAAATCCCATTTAGAAATTACCCATGTACTCTCTGCAAGACATCACCTGCATATCCAGTCCACATGACACCAGGCTCTGAGGCCTTTGAGGACGAAAAGCTACAGAGGAACAGATATTGGAATGTCTCTTCAGTGATCTGCTAATTTTCTTATTTTCCAGGTCTAGGATTTTGATTGTTCCAGAGTCATCAGCAGAAGCCAGCAGGTTTTCAGTTTCATTTAATGAAAGACAGTTGATTTCTTCTTCATTCACATGAAAATCGTCCAAGGGTTCCTTAAGAGACCTGACATCCAGTATGCTAATGGTTTCTCCATGTGAAGCATAGAGTTTGGTGGGACAGGATGGAGAAAATAAGACGTTGGTAACATCCTCTACCCCTCGGAAGCACGTGTGTCCTAAAAGAGTCCCATCTTCACCCCAAACCATGAGATCTCCACCTTCTGCTCCAGAAGCCACGAGCCCTTCTTGACTTGCATTCAGGCAGAGAATAGGAGAAGAATGTCCACCAGTCCACTTGACTGCCATAATGACCCAGGTAACTCTGTGAAGAGGGGGGATAACTATAATCTCATGTTTTACATAAGAACTCCGTAAGACACAAATTCAATATTTCATTTAAAAAATAAAATACATCTAAAAAACTCAATTAATAAAAAAAGACATTTGAAGATCAAGCCTACAAAGCCTGGTTAACACAAAACTGTGGCTGGCACATGCCTACATGTGTTTTCCTTGAAATCAGGTACCGAGGTAAGTCTGGTCCTCCAGCCTTTGATGTGAGGCTCACATAGGAATAAACAATAAATACACTTATTTTAAATTAAGAAAAGTCCTTTTTAAGAAACAGCCACACAATCATCAGGTTATATCCTTTATCTGAATAATGTTTATGGAAAATGAGCACTGGAATTAGACTCTTTGGGTTTGAATAGCTCTATTACCTATCAGCTGGGGAAGTTACTCAATCTATGACCCACTTTTCGTCTCGATAAAATGGGGGTAATAATAACATCCATTTCATGAGATCAGAGAAGATTCAATGACACAATAAATGTCAAATGCATGTAACAGTGCCTGGTATGTAATGAGAACTCAACAAAAGTATTATCATCGTCACTTTGGTTACTTCTATTAGGCTAGTCAAAGTGGCATCATATATATTACACCAATGGTTCTCAAAATATGGTCTCCAGCAGCACTAGCATCACCTAGGAACTTTTAGAAATATAAACTGTTGGACCCCACTCTAGGCCCACTCAATCAGAAACTCTGATGTCAGCACCCAACAATGTGGTTTAACAAGTCCTCCAGGTGATTCTGATGTATGCTAGAATTTGAGAACCTGTTGTTTTAGTTGCAAAGCTGAGTCCAGCTCTTTTTTGTCCCCATGGACTGCAGCCCATCAGGCTCCTCTGTCCTTGGGATTTCCCAGGCAAGAATACTGGAGTAGGTTCTTTGTCTAGGGGATCTTTCTGACCCAGGGATCGAACCTGCGTCTCCTGCATGACACATGTGTTCTTTACCACTAAGCCACCACGGAAGCCATTGAGAACCTGTACTATACCACTAATCATGAGGGGAGCTGGTTAAAAATGCAAACCCTTGGGTCTTCTCATTGGAGACTAATTCAGTCCATTCTTTAATTTTATTCTCAAAACAACATTTCTGATTGGTATCATTCCATTTTACAGATAATTAAATTGAGTCTCAGAAATTTAAAATAATTTTCCCAAAGTCACCTGTTCAGGATTTGTACTTAGGATCTAGAATAAAACAATCCTAAATTTCTAAATAATGAAGACCTTTTTATAACAATTCTATTTGATAACAGGTTTAACCTGTTAGTATTTTAAAGTACAGAAAATGACCAAAAGCTACTAATAATTCATTGCTGCTTCTAAATATACTCACATTAAAAAAAAATCACATTATTACCTACTGCTTCTAAATATACTCACATTTTAAAAAAATCACATTATCACCTACTTACACTTATATAACAGGAGTATTTATGTAAATTATTTAGATTCCTGATATACTAGGCAGCCTGCTTCTTTAAACTGGAATTGCCACATAATACTACCCACTACCTGAACTATCTCCTGCTGCTGCTGCTGCTAAGTCGCTTCAGATGTGTGTCTTTTACGCCCCCCTCCCCCAATTGGGCTGTAGTCTACTAGGCTCCTCTGTGGATAGGATTCTCCAGGCAAGAATAATGGAGTGGGCTGTCATGCCCTCCTCCAGGAGATCTTCCCGACCCAGGGATAGAACCTGCGCCTCTTGTCTCTTGCATTGGCAGGTGGGTTCTTTACCACTATTGACACCTGGAAACCCAATTACCTCCTGGGCAAAGCAAAAAAGGAAATTGGGGCAATTTATACAATTAAATGATCAGACAAAAGGAAGCAAACAAATCTATCTGGACAAATTATATTTTTCATTCCACAAGACAAAGGAGAGTTTTATCTACTAAGAAACTGCAATAGTTGCTTTAGTATTTTCAGATATAATACCTGAATTTAGTTCAACTGTACAAAGATAAATTTCCAAATACTGTTTTGAAGAATAATTTAATCTGCTTAAAGTTTCTATTCCCAACACAAGTTTGTTTCCTCCCACATTTAGCCACACACACATACAAAATCACTAACTAGGCTGCCAAAAAAACAAAAACAAAACACTGATCTAATAGTAATCAAAGTAACAGAAACATAATCATAAAATCAGATACAGCAATTTTCATATACAAAACAAAGTACAAAAAAAGACAAAGATACATTAAAAAAATTTTAGCAGAAGCACTCAATCAATAAACAGAAGAAACTAATTAAATAGAGACTGAAGCAAATACATTTTAAAGGAGAGGTTTGGAGAGGAAATGACTCCGGCAGATAAAGACAGGGAACTCTGGTGATTTGACTTTTGCTGACAAGTACTGACATAGTAGTTATATAATTTTCTACCATAATCAAACCAGTCAATCCTAAAGGAAATCAACCCTGAATATACACTGGAAGGACTGATGCTGAAGCTCCAATACTTTGGCCACCTAATGCGAAGAGCCGACTCGTAGGAAAAGATCGTGATGCTGAGAAAGATTGAGGGCAGGAGGAGGAGAGGGCAACAAAGGATGAGATGGCTGGATGGCAGCATCTACTCAAAGGACATGAGTGTGAGCAGACTCCGGGAGACAGTGCAGAACAGGGAAGCCTGGCATGTGCAGTCCATGGGGTCGCAAAGAGTCGGACACAACTGAGCAACTGAACAACAACAAACCATAACAAGGACTTTTGCCAAACGTTCCAGATAAACCAAGGAAAAAGGACACACAACACAATTTAAAATGAAAGGTATTAATACTCAGGCTTAGGAACTGTCATTTGTGATGACTATTGACTCACATGATAAAGACAATATCCTAACTAAAAATATGAATTTTGAATTAATCATTGAAAAGGCTACTTAAGTTACAAATAGTTTATCTATGTCATGAATCTTTAGAGTATTGATCACTTATTCCTAAGTTAGAGTTTTAATTTTTCTATAATGAATTAACTTTAAAAGTCTAGAAGTCTGCCCTCTACAGTTTTAGGATTTTGTGTCCATAAAGGTTTTGGATCTCTGTTGGAATATTAGGTTTTTCACTAAGACAAAAACAAAGCAGGGTTTCTAGTACTTCTATTTCTCCATCACACATCTACCCACAGAGGACCTAAGTAGAGGTTGACTTGCAGACAAAAGTTTTGGTTTTCCTCCTAATGTAACTCTTTTCCAGAAAAGATTAATTCAATTTTAAAGATACATCTGGTTAAACTCCACCCCAAAGTGTAAGAGGTTAGGCAATAAATGAATTTTGAACTTCAAGAGACTACTATAGACAACAATACAGTTCCTGTAAAATTTTCCATAATGGAAGCAGTAGTAACTCTTGGACTGTTATTCCCAACAAGTCCAAGGTCAGCTCTACCTTAATATCTACCCACCAGAGTAAAGAACAAATGAAACTTCTAGTCTCTACACCACATGGATAATATTCACTGATTACCCAGCTAGTCAGAAAAATTAAAATAGAGACCTACTACAGGAAATATTAGGAAAAAGAGCTGGGAGAGTTCCAGAAATCCATACATTCCGAGGCATTTAATTTAATCATACAGAATACTGATCAGGGATTCAACCAGTGTACCCCCCACCACCCCGAGGCAAATCACTTGTTTACTTAATCTACAAAATTGAAGTTATTTGTTATTATTTGAAATATTCAATCAAAAAGTATTAATCAGACTGCTGTGGTGAAAGGTAGGGGGGAAAATTAACTACATATAGGTTAAATCAAAACAATCTTCTAGAAAAATGAGTTGGCAATCTGCCATTTCTTGTTTTTGTTTCACTGGGACTGGAGAGCTACCTGGAAGTAGCTAAGTGCCACTATCTCCACTCCAACAAGCTTCTCTTCTCAAAGGTAGAAGCCTAAAGAGTCAAGCACAGTAATTAATCATTTCCTGTTGTGAATTAGTTTAATTAGATAATAGACGCCTTCCTTCCAACACCTAATGAGATTATGGAGTTGTGGGGAGGAGGATGGTAGGGTACTTTGAAAACATATTTATGAAGGGTGGAGTGCAAGATGGAAGTTCTAAGCAGCCAAAGGGCAGAAAGTACTGAACATGGGGGGAGGGGACATGGTCCAGTGTGTAATGAGCAGGCAAGAAAGAAAAAAGGAGGTAGTGATAAAGGAAAGCTTCTCCTACTTTGAAATCCTACCTGGGCCACTTGGGGGTACCCCCACTTGGGGGTACTTTGCCCCCCCCCCAAAAAGCTACCTCACTGACTGAACTAGATTTACTTCATCAGATCCTTCAGAGGCTCTCCCTCACTTATACCAGGGCAGACAGGATAGAGGCCAATGTCTTTAATAACTGAATGCTCTCTAAGTTCTTGCTCCTGTCATATCTCCATTATCCACTTGTCCTTTTCAAGGGTCTGTGCCTTTAAAGCTGTTCATTCTGTCTCTTCTTGGATGGACCAACTCTAGCTCAGAAGATGTAAAAGAAACTTCAGTGCCTTTCCAGACAAAACATGGACTGCCTTCCTGGGATGGTTGAAAGTTGAAAAATGAATAATAAATTCCCTAGCCTGAGGTTTAAATAATATGATAGTCATGACTATCATTGTAGTAAGCATACTGGTCAACTTTTCTTCACACATTTCAGTTTTCCAAAGTGAGTGGTTGAAGGGCTGTGGCACTGACACTAGTAAGAAAGAAAAGAATCTGAGTGACTAAGCTTGGAGGAAAAAACATCTAAGAAGGGACTGGCAAGTAGTAATCAAACACCACTTATCAGATGGTAGGTGTTGTTCTTTTGTTTTTACTGGAAAACAAGAAATGGATTATTCACAGTAGGAGAGCTTTCGAAAAGATTCCTTACGACATAAAGGAAAGACAGTGGCATAAAGGTAATCTGTGAGCCCTACTATTATAACAATTACTTCGCAGTGTTGCTTTGAGAGTTATATAAACTCTCCCGTAAAGGGCCCCAGTAGATTGCCTCACATGACGGTTATTATTTTCCAAGCATTCCTTAAAGGCTGTCGGAAAACGTCTGGCCACCTAGGAAAACGTAGTATGATTAAATAATGCTGAAATTCTTTCCCTTCCAAGGAATTTTCTTAATTATAGCTTCCATGTCATTCTCCCTTACTAGAATGTGTAATTAGTTAAAAACACACCTCAATTCGCCTACTAATCGGTGGGTTAGTAGGAAAGACTGGGAAAGGCCATATTTTGTCCAAAATAATGTAGCACTTAAAGAGTACTTTAAGGTTAACCAAACATGGGAGGGGGGCGGGAGATATTCAGACGTGGCGACCTCACACGCTATATACAGGCTAGCACACACGTTCTGATAAGCACTGGTACTAAGGGAGAACAAGAACGCCTGGCCAGGAAAACACGAACTCAGCAGCCGAAGGAAAAGGAAGATCTAACTCAAACTCAAGGTGGCGGAGCTAGGACTGGCTAGTAAGGAGAGCGAAGTTTCCTGCGTTAGGTTGGAATGGTCAAGCAGGGACGCAAATGACTCAGGGAAACCTTATAGGAAAAGGGGATCAAAAAAGCCGACGCGAGGTCACTATATCAAAAAGGGGGAAAGAGGGAGGATACCCTGAAACCCACCCGCGCCAACCTCATACCTGCGCTTCCCGCTTCCCACCTAGGCGCCTGGCGATGACCTCACCGGCGAGCGCCCAATCCCATCTAGCGTAGGGCGGGAGGCGCCGTAGCCAAACAGTCACATCCGGGGCCGAGAGGAACCGCGCGAGCTGGGCGTGCGTCCTTGCTTCGTGCCCTCAACCCGCATGGCGGAGCCACGGGCGCGCCGCGGGGAGGCCATACGAGTCGGGCGGTTCCGGCGACCGCGCTGAGCCGCGGGGGAGGGGCGGGGGACGCCCGTGCAGTCGGTGCGTCTGCCCTCAGTGAGGCGGGGCGCGCGGCGGACGCCCCCGGGCAGGGGCGGGAGTGGTTTGGAGGGGCCGGGCGGTTAGCTGTGAAAGGGGCGGTGAGCGAGCTGCTCCGGTCTCAAGGCGAGGCTTGGCCTCTGGAGCAGAGACGGGGGGAAGCGGCGGCGGCGGCGGCGGCCCTCGGGCCGGCTGGTGAGGCGATGGCGGCGCCGGCCCCGGGGGCTGGGGCAGCCTCGGGCGGCGCTGGCTGTAGCGGCGGCGGCGCGGGCGCCGGCTCGGGCTCTGGGGCCGGGGGCCGGTTGCCCAGCCGGGTGCTGGAGTTGGTGTTCTCTTACCTGGAGCTGTCCGAGCTGCGGAGCTGCGCCCTGGTGTGCAAGCACTGGTACCGCTGCCTGCACGGCGATGAGAACAGCGAGGTGTGGCGGAGCCTGTGCGCCCGCAGCCTGGCAGAGGAGGCTCTGCGCACGGACATCCTCTGCAACCTGCCCAGCTACAAGGCCAAGGTGAGGGAGCCCCGCGCCACGCCGCTGCCCCCTGTCCCGCTTCTCCGCGCAGCTCTCAGCGTTTCTCAGCTAAGCTTCTGAGTCAGAAGTGCCTTTCCACCGCTCCAGTCAGTACCCTTCCTCGCCTCCCCCGCCATAAAGATCTCTGGGTTGAAGTTCTGCTCCTTAACCCACCCCACTTCCGTGATGCACTTTTTAAAGGATCAGATGGTTTTCCATCCTTGGTTTCCATCAGTCATTCTACTTTCCACCGTCTATCCCCTTAAAAACAGGCCATTGTTGTAGCTTTCAATACTCTAATCCTATTTTTCTCTCTGTCCTTTATTAGATCATCTCGGCTGCGTTATTTACTTAGTTTCTAAGATTTTTTATTTCACCTCACGTTTTCCAAGATCTGATTTATAACTATGTTTTATTTTTGCCCAAGTACCTTGAATTCGCTCCGCTATGTTACAGGCTTATAAATAAGTGTGGTCCAAGGCATCCTGCTAACTTTAAAGATAAAGGCTTTGAATAGAACATCGTGCCATTGGCGCCACTTAACAGTCGTAATATTGCCATGTCCCACTATTACTGGCTGTTGCCTTGCCAACTTTTTCATAGTTCACCTTGCTGGTGTATCTCTTATGTTCTGTTTGTCATCCAACATGCCGTTTCCATTTTTGGTGCCTTTTAACCCCCGCTGCCAGACTCTTGTGCTTAGTCTTGCCTTCATATACAAATAAAAATGTCAAGTAGCAGATCTTGGTAGGACTGAGAGCATTTCTCAAGCAATATAAACAAATGGCTGTAAACTTGAGTTCAGTTTGGATGGATACAGCTATTTAGTATTGCAGTCACCAAGAGTATACATGAGAGAGGATAAAGTCTGATCTCGAATATGGTAAACATAAAAATACATTAACAGCTAAAAAAGGGAAAGCATATCTTTTTAATGCTAGACTGCCAGTGGGGCCAGAGTAAGGAGAAAATTTCTTTTCCCTGTGAAATAAATGTAAAATGTATTCTGTAATAAAATAGGCTTCAGTTTAATAAGGTTAGGATAAGGATTACTACTTTTAAATATGTCAAATTGTTTATCTATTAAGTGAAATAACATGTTGACTTGCAAGGACAGTTAGTAGATGCTCAATGGATAATAATTGTAATTCATATAGTAGAGGGCAGAAGATTGCAATTTTGTCTCACTGTGCCTAATAAACATATAGGTTTCATGACTCTTAATTTAGTTTTTATTTTTCCATAAAGTTTATTATTTTTACTTATTTTAAATTGAGACATTTTTGTAGTTGATCTGTAATAGACATATTCACATGATTCAAGATTCATGTAATAATATGTAATAAATAATGTATTCATGTGAGTCAGTGTGCAAAAGAAGCAAAATGTCTTCCTTTAGTCCTTAAACCCCCACCATCCAGATTGGAGGCAGCCTATGTTACCTGTTTTTCTTTATCTTTGCAGAGGGTTATAAATTTTAATACTTTGTATGCCTTTGTACTACTTGCAGTGTAGGTGTTATAGACTTGTGCATTCAGATGTTGCAGGACTTTCCTTGAATATCTTGAAGATAAAAGATTAATTCAAAAGTATATACATAGCCTAGTAGGAAAGTTCTCAGTCTAGGAGAAGAGGAAAAAAAAATGTATAGAAATAGCTAGTGGTTATTAGTTAGAAACTAGACGTTTAGTGAAAGAGATTCACAAGTTGAGTGAACAGTTTTAGAAGGATTGAGATTGTATTTGAGCTGAATTTTAAAGATGGGAAGAATATGAACTATTTTACTAAGAGGAAATACCCTGAACAAAAAGCAAGATAGTGGAAAGCAGAGGATTTGAATAGTATATATTTTTATTAAAAAAAGTATGCATGTTAGGTACTATGCTCAGTTTTGCAGATGCAATGCTGAATAAAAACACAAATGTTTATGGATGCTTTCCCATATAGCACTAATCTAGTGGGGGGAAGTGGGTATTGATCAAATAGTCACACAGTTGTAAAATTGCATTTGTGATGAGTCCTATGAAGGTTAGATCCATGGTGCTCTGAATGTCAGTAGTGGAGAATTTGACCTAAGTAGCGAGGTCAGGAAAGGCTTTGTCTGAGAAAATAAAGCTGAGACCCCCCGCCCCCCACCAGAAAAAAGGATAAATAGGCCAGAGAGAGAGAGAAGAGCCTTCCAGGAGGGAACCTGGTGAGTATGAGTGACAGAAGATAATCAGTGTGACTGGACCACAGAGAGCAAAATTGAGGCAAGTTTGATAAAGATGGAAGAGGTGGACTGGAGCCAAACAAAAGGAAGCCATTTTAAATTGTAAGCAAAGGAGAGTTAGGAGTTTGGGGGTTGGTAATATGATAGCTTTCCATTTTTAAGAGGTTATTATGACTTAAGAATGAACAACCAGTTGGAGGGGAACCTTGGAAATATGTATAGTCGTAAGTATGTAGAACAAGAGATGGGGAGAAATTTAGGCAATAAAAGCTACAGGACTTGGCAGTAGATTTGAAATCGGGCTGAGGAAGAGGGAGGTGCTCAGATGACTTCTAGGTATCTGGCTTACATAATATAGGGATTACCTGGGCTAGATTTTGGAGGAATAAAAATGAGTTTAGTTTTGGTAGCACAGAATTTACAGTGTTAAGACATCAAGAGTTTTCAGATAGGCATCTGTTACGGTTTGTAGCTTAGAGGGAAGGCTAAAGATATAAAATAGTTAGATTGAATTGTAGTTGGGAGATAAGATTGTAAAGGTAAGCAGAAACTAGAGATATCTTGGAGGTCTTTGACATACAGGCTTCAGTCTGTAGTTTAGGCTTTGTTTTACAGCTGGAAACCACAGAAATTGGAGCAAAGGAATGGCAAAGTAAGAGCTATGCTTTAGAAAAACTAGTAGTCCATAAGATGAATTCAAGAAGGCAGGGGTTGGTTTCTATGCCAGAGGTATTCAAGACCAGAATAAGTGTATGGAGCAGAGAAGAGGATAACTGGGAGAGAAACTTCAAGAAAACAAGGGCGCATAGATGGACAACTGACTGGGTGAGCTGGGATGAAGAAAAAGGAAGAGTCAATATGATTGCCAGGAAGTGAGGGTAACTGGGAAAAGGAGAACAGGCCTGGGCCAGCGTAAACGTGAGAAGCGTTTGGGGCTGTCAGTCTGACTAGGGTTTGACTGCTTTTTAGAAGTTCGTGTTTTACATATACCAGGTAACATTAGTTACTCCAGTCATACTTGACATCTAATTGTAATTCTCTAAATCTCAAACTTACATCCTAAACTAGAGATCTGAAAGCTGTTTGCTATAATGCAAAATCTGTATTGTGTATGAGACTGCATAGCAAGAACTATAGACTTTTTTTTTTTTTTTTTTTTGTATTTTCAAAATTGTAATTAGGTATTACCAAATAAAGTAATAAACAACTCTTAATTTAGAGTGCAAAATAAAAGCACCTCGTTATTTACAAGGTGCAAAAGCAAGAAAATACAACATAAACTTATCCACATTTTTAAATAGTTGTCTGTGTGATGAGTAAATGCCATTTAAAAACACTTTCAATAGAAAAATGATTTTTAAACCAGTTTACAGACTTTTTATTTGTGTATTTTCCATTTTATCTGATTTTTCACATTATCTCTAAAAGATAAGGACACTTAATCCCAATACCATTATTACATCTGTAGTATAAATAAATAACCCCTTAATATACGAAGTGTGGCATTCAAATTTCCAGTTTTTTCCTAAAAATGTCAAATGTTGTATCTTTAATTTTCAGTTTATATAAGCAAGATCTGTCTATATAAGGTTCTCATGACAGTTGATATGTCTCTTAAGGCTAATTTTGTCTGCAGATACACTTTGCATCTCTCCCACCTCTCATCCCTGCACTTTATTTCTTGAAGAAACCCAGGTGTTTACCCTGTAGAGAGTAATCCTCAGTCTGGATTTTGCTGGTTTCATTCGTATGGTTTTCCTTAACATGTTCTCTGTCCTCTGTATTTCCTGTAAAAGTTTGATAAATTTAGGTTAGATTAGATTTTTTTAAAGATACTTTTAGCTAGAATCAAATGGTTGGGATGTGTATAGCACTTTCAGGTTGTTATAATAAGAATAGATACAGAAAAAAATTAGATATACTTCAGGTTTACATCCCCCTTATGAAAACATGGGACACCTGAACCAAAGAGGTTTTTTGTTTCTGTTTTAATCTGTGATCTGATGGGGTACAACAATTAAACAGTGAAGCACTCACTAATGATAAAGGGGAGGGCACACTGGATGAGGGGACTGGATGCTTGACTTATTGAGGCTCTTATGCTAACTACATGTTGACTCTTATGCCCGAGTCCTAATTCCTGAGTTTAACTAGGTAAAGGTCTTAAGGTCTTTCCTATGCTGAAATTCTATGTTTCTGGAATTGATTTCTCAGGTTAACTAAAGCAATAGGTCCTAGCCTTCAACTGCTTCTACACAGTTTGAGTAAAGAAGGGATTTCCTGAAAAACATACGGACCAAAAAGCTATAAGTTATTAAAACATGAGAAATGGTATAGTAATAACAATTTTCTTACTGTCTTTATTTTGGAAGTTTAAAAGACTAGTGATTACTGAAAGTCAACTAACCTGTTAATGGTAGCTGCTGTTAATTACTATCTGTTTATAAATTTTAGTGGTTGAATTTAGATGCTATCTAGGGGATTATTTGATTTGGTAAAATAAGAGTGGTGATGTCTTAGTGTATGAGTAATACCTAGCAAGGAGGCCAGAGGATCTAAGATAGTTTGTGGTTATTAAAATTTTTCATAGCTAATGTGACTAAGTTCCCTGTTTTACTTAAAATACCGTTCTTTTTGATGACAGCATTGCCTACATGAAAACTGTGCATATTTGAACTTTTTAATGTAAAAATATGAAATATAAACCAGAGTAGAGGAAACAACCTCCCTGATACCCATCACCAAGCTTTACCAGTGGTTAACTCATGGGCAGTCTAGTTTCATGTTTACCCTGTCCAATCTCCCATTCCACTCTTGGATATTTCAAAGCAATTGCCAAACATCATTATGTCACCCAAAAACATCTCCATATTCTCTCTGAAATATAAGGATTTCTGTGTCTATCTTTTGATGTCTTAAGAAGTCTACTTGGAGAAATTACACAGCAATTTAGAATTTTGGTCAATAATGAAACAGTTGGCAGTTTTATCTTTAATGTTGTGTAATTTATTATGTTAGTGTCTCATCCCAAAAATGAGCCATTTTTGAGAAATACTTATTGTATTACTTAAAATATATAATTTTATTGTTTAAAAACATGTACCCTAAAGTTTGGGTACTTTTTAATGTTTAAGAAAAATAAAATTCTCTTTCTCTGGCCTTCCATCTTTTCAGATACGTGCTTTCCAACATGCTTTCAGCACTAATGACTGCTCCAGGAATGTCTACATTAAGAAGAATGGCTTTACTTTACATCGAAACCCCATCGCTCAGAGCACTGATGGTGCAAGGACCAAGATTGGTTTCAGTGAGGGCCGCCACGCATGGGAAGTGTGGTGGGAGGGCCCTCTGGGCACTGTGGCAGTGATTGGGATTGCTACAAAACGAGCCCCTATGCAGTGCCAAGGTTATGTGGCATTGCTGGGCAGTGATGACCAGAGTTGGGGCTGGAATCTAGTGGACAATAATCTACTGCATAATGGAGAAGTCAATGGCAGTTTTCCACAGTGCAACAATGCACCAAAATATCAGGTGAGAAACCAAGTATTTTCTGAAAAGTGAGCCTTTGTTAAATCATGCCTTAATTTGTTTTAAATTTACAAAGTTTTCCATAGCAGAATTATTTGTCTTTTTGGTAATTTTTAAATAAATAGTGTAACTGGCCTTTTTTGGCTACTGTGATTATCTTTTAGTATCTTAATATTTTTTTCCTTATACATATTCAGTCTGAGCAATCTGTCTTTGCTTTAAACCGGGTTGGCACACTTTTTCTGTACAGGGTCAGATAGTAAATGTTTAGACTTTATGGTCCATACTGTCTCTCATAACTGTTCAACTCTGTTGTTTATTATTCCAGTAAAAAACTTATTTATACACTGCAAGCCAGATTTGGCCCAGGAGCCATAGTTTGCCAGCTTGTACTCTAGATTATAATCTTACAACATGGCACATCTAAATTACTTTTTCTAGATACCTCACCCCCACAAATGCACCTTTTTGCGAGTATATACATACTTTTTCTCTGCTATTTACCTGTGGATTGTATTCAAAGCCTCTGGAGGTGTCAGTGATTTCTATAAAGATAGGCAAGTTCAGGCAAACTACTACATTTTTATTTTAATTTTTGTTTTTTGGCCCCACCACATGGCATGTAGGATGTTAGTTCCCCGACCAGGGATCAAACCTCTGCTCCCTGCAGTGGAAGCACAGAAGCTTAACCACTGGGCCAAACTACTGCATTTTAAAATTCTTTTCATCTTAACCTTCAGCCATATTCATTTTATTCTAGAGTCAAAATTATAGTTCCTATTTGTAAAAGCTATGTGATCACCATAGATTCAGCAGAATCTAAAAAATAATAATCTGATAAATTGGAAATTTTAAAGAATTATAGATTGTGCATTTTAGAGGAACATGTGGTTTGAAAGCTCTAGCCTTAGTATTGACCTCAAGTCAAGCATAATAAAGTAGAAGAACTAAAAATATATCCCATTTCCTGAGGTATAAAAGTATGGAAAGTTTTCTTTCATAGAATCCTTTCCTTACTGTTCTTTCAGGCTATACAGATACACTAAAGAGAAGGATGTCTGGACTTAATAATCATTGAAGATAAAGTTCTGTCACTACGCGTGATTTTATAGTGAAAGTCCTTTATTTTTTGTTTTTCAAAGAACATACTCTATATGATTTCAGTCCTTTTAAATTTATTGAGAGATGTTTTATTCCTAGCATACGGTTTATCCTGATGAATGTCCATGAGTACTTGAATATCTTCTGTTGCTGGATGGAATAATCTATTAAAGACAATTAGGTCAAATTGGCTAACAATATTTATGTCTTCTGCTTTCTGTTTTTCTTCTACCTGTTCTGTCATTTACCAAGGAGTATTAAAATCTCCAACTATAATTGTTGATTTATCTATACTTTCAGTTTTGGGAGTTTTTGCTTTATGTGTTTTGATATTGTTATTAGGTGCATATTTATAATTGCTATATCTACCTATGTGGCTGACTCTTTTATCATTATGAAATGACCTTTTTTTAGAAAAAATTTATTATTTATTTCTGGCGATGCTGGGTCTTCATTGCTGCACAGACTTTTCCCTAGTTTCAGCGGGCAGGAGCTACTCTCTAGCTGAGGTGTGTGGGCCCCTCATTGCGGTGGCTTCTCTTGTGCAGCACGGGCCCTAACGTGCATGGACTGCAGTAGTCGGGGCACGTGGGCTCAGTAGTTGCAGCTCCTGGGCTCCAGAGCACAGGCTCAATAGTTGTGGTGCACAGACTTAGTTGCTCTGCAGCGTGTGGGATCTTCCAGGATCAGGGATTGATTGAACCCGTATCTCCTGCACTGGCAGGCAGATTCTTTACACTGAGCCACCAGAGAAACCCGAAATAACCTTCTTTGACTCTAGTAATAGTCCTTGTGTTTATGTCTATTTTGTCTTAATGTCAGTACAGCCAGTCCAAGTTTCTTATGTTTACTATTGCCGAGTACCTCTTTCCCCTCATCCTTTTACATTTATTTTGTCTTTATAAGCAGTCTGGGGGACTCATTTTAAATATAATTATATCTTTCTTTTTATCTAACCCAATCTTTTGATTTGAGTAGTTAGTCCATTTATATTTAATGTAATTGTTGGACTGCTTGATATTCTCCTTGTCTCTGTGCCTCTGGAGCTATGTCCCTTTTTCTCTCTGTTTTTTGGATTTGTTAATTTCTGTTGTTCTATCTTTAAGTTCAAATTTTTTTTTCTTGTTATTTAAGCTCCCTGGTCATTGCAACACTGTTGAGTCAGGCTGTGAATTTTGGTTATTGTGCCCCTGAGCTCTAAAACTTACATTTGGTTCATTTTATAGTTTCCATTTCTCCACTGAGATCTCTGTCTGTTTATTTATTAGTACTGTGTTTTTCTTTAGTTATTTGTATATATTTTATAATAACTACTTTGAAGTCTTTTCCAAATCCAACATCTAGGGCCCACTTGGAGTCTGTTTCTACCGACTTTTTTCTCCACGTGTATAAGTTGTACTTTCCTGCTTCTTTTCATATCCATTCATTTTTTTAACTGAAAACTGGACCTGGTAGACAATACAATAACTCTGGAATGTTTTGTTCCTTTAGAAACTGCTTTGTTCTGAAAACTGTAGGTTTTCTTGTTCTAGTAGGCAGTTAACTTGCCTGGACTGAAACTGTATATAGCAGTTAATGTCTTTGTTCGGTTTTTTTGGCTTCTAGCTGCTGCTTTTTCTGGCTGGTTCCCTGAGGGTTTTCCCTGTGTCTGTGTAATGCAGTCCTCACACAAGGATTTGGGCAGAGTTTATTTTGGGGCTCATCCTCTTTGTGGTTTTGTTGCTTCTTGTGTTCCTCTAAGTTTCTAATGGTGCTGCTATCTCTAAATTTTGTCCTCTGACACCTAAAACTTGGCCTTTCTACTCCTTGTGCTATGTGCATACTATATGCTCAAAGATAAAGCAGACTTGAAAATTTCATGGAGAGTGGTTCTGTTTTCTTATTTTCATCTTCTGTAAAATAAGGATAACTCCTAGGAGTGATGTGAGAATTAAATGAGATAATATAAAATCACTCAACAAATACTCATCAGAATATTAGCTTTTTGTTTCTAGTTTTTGTTGTTATCTGTGCTTTGTAAAATAGTGATGTTGGTAATTTGGAAGTTCTTAGGTCCATAAAATGGGATTAATCTGTGAGTTGGGCAGAGAGAGAGAAAAAGATATTTGTAGTTGTTTGTGATAGGAAATACAATGAAGGAAGGTAATGATAGCAGTTGGGGGATATCATAATCGGAAAGTGTTCAATATGATTTTTGATTGAAAAGTGTTAGGATTCTCTGCCTCCAGGTATATAGATGCAACAACCTCTAACATATGCATGTTATAAGGATATAGCATGCTACTTCTTTGCTTACTTTTCCATATGTGAAAAGAACTGGATAATTGTGCTTCTGTTTAGTTTAACAATCAGTGCTGCTTTTTTTTCCTTTTTTAACAAACAGGTGTTTCAGATTAGTGGACCACAAAGTGATTGTTTAATAAGTGTATTTTGTGTCTTTAGAACCTATAGCCAGATTTGACAATTCATAATTATATTTCCATATTGTATGTAGAACTGCTTTGTATAATTTAATGGCTAAGTGTTTTATTATAGTGTTTTTATTTTGGTGAAATATATACAACAGTCTTTATTATTAACTATTTGTAAGTGTATAATTTATTGGCATTAAATACATTCACAGTGTTGTGCAACCATCCCCACTATGTATACCCAACATATACCCAAAACTGTTTCATCATCCCCAATATAAACTCCGTGCCCACTGAACAATAACTCCACATTTCTTCCTCCCCCAGCTTCTGGTAACCTCTATTCAATTTTCTGTCTATGTGAATTTGAATATTCCAGGTGCTTGGTATAAGTGGAATAGTATAATACTTGTATTTTTGTGTCTAGCTTATTTCTCTTAGCGTAATGTTTTCAAAGTCCACTCATGTTGTAGCACATACTAAAATTTCTTTTTAAGGTTGGAAAGCATTCCATTGTATGCATCTACTGTAGTAATTTTAGAAAATTTATTTATTTATGTATTTATTGAGAAAATTTAGAGTGCCTTTTTTGGTAAAATGTGCCAAGTTATAGGTTTTAGAGGTAACCTTTTTTAAAAAGCCCTTAAAAAGAATAAATAAAATCTTGGGACTGTTCAGAAAGAATATTAAAATTTTCAGCATTAAATATTGATCCCACACAAGTCTTAAGTTTAAAAAAAGACCATCAAGAAAAATAAAATTAAATTAAAATTAAAAAAAGACCATCAAAACATTTGTGATGCAATTGATGTGTGTTCTTTTTCTCGATGTTTCTCCCTGACTGAATAACTTTGTTGGTTTTTCTAGATAACTTTTGAGATGCATATGCTTAATAATATTTTCAACTTGATTTCCTCTAATTATGCCTTTGATGGGTTTCTTCTAACCTTCTTTTGATGTCTGTTTGCAGATAGGAGAAAGAATTCGAGTCATCTTGGACATGGAAGATAAGACTCTAGCTTTTGAACGTGGATATGAATTCCTGGGGGTTGCCTTTAGAGGACTTCCAAAGGTCTGCTTATATCCAGCAGTTTCTGCTGTATATGGCAACACGGAAGTGACTTTGGTTTACCTTGGAAAACCTTTGGATGGATGACAGTGGCTTTCTTGGGATGAAAGACAGAGTGGAGGAGGTATCTGCTTGTGGGAAGTAGAATCATGAAGTGACAGTGTCATACATGCATGCCCAAGAAACACCCTGAAAAACACATGATATTGTTAACTGGAGAAGCAACTCTACAGCAGAGATGATCTTAGTGTTTCCTCTTTCTCCTGGGCCAGAAAAATCCTCAGGGTTGCAGTTGGTTGAGTGGGCAGTTGACATATGCATGTTTCAACAGATTTTGTCTCTTAAGTTAGCAATGTGTTATTTCCAACTTTTAAGGTGAGATCATAGAGATGCTGTCAAAGGGATAAGATAAGGAACTAGCAAGAGTTTTTAAGTAGTGTGTTTGTGAAGAAAGATTGATCCTGTTTTACAACTGCCTGTTTTTCCTCCAGACCCTTTTTTCCAACCAGCTTGACTATTGGAAAAGTATGAAACTGGTTGGGTTTTATTTAATATTTTTAATATATTGAGAAGCATGGTCTGCCTGGACTGCACTTCTCTAACAGTGAGATATAAAATTGTGCAGCTATTTTAAAAGTTGTATATACAGTATGTGTGTAAAAAAAAAAAACTTATAAAAAAACAGGGCAAAGGAGTTGCTTTGTTCTAGTTCAGTTTCTTAAAAACCACTACATGGTACAAAATTAGAACAACATTAGGGACAGTCTGGTAACTACAAAGAAGAGGATTTTAAGAGATGTGTTGTATTGGCTTGTTTTGTATTATATTTGGCTTACAGTTTCCATAGCTGTTACAGTCTGATTTATTTTTTTAACCATCAAAATTATTGTAAATGTTCTTCATCTCCAGGCTAAGATTGAGGGAAGGCAAATCTATTTCTAATCATACATATATCAGTAATAATAATAATGTGCATCTGGTTTTATTTTTTTGACCTTTTGAGAAAGTGTCTTGTAAGAATAAAGAACATTGCCATTTGTTCTTATAGGCTTCAAATATGAAAGTTGTTAGTCACAGACCTTAAGAAAATAATTGATCAATGACCCTTTTATTTTGTAACTTTATAATGCTGTAGATATTATAATCTTTTTAAGTTCATATTGTTTACATCATGCAACAGTCTAAGCCTCAAACTTGTCATTGGGGTTGTCAAGAAAATGTTTACTCAGTCACCTGAAACAGTGCCAGCCTGAACCCAGCTTAAGAATGTTCTTAATCTCATTATAGATAATTGCCCCCATGGGACTTGAAATAAAACACCTTATGCTGGAAACTTCAGGTTGGCAATATTTTGAAGGTTTCATTGTAGTAGAAGAGTTTAACATTAATTCCTATTCAGAATTTTTGACTAATAAATCTGATTTCACTAATACTTTTTCAAATTAATAATTCAACATACATGAACTGAAATTTTCTTTTGTTAGAAAAGAAACAGAAACAAATATCTTTCTGTATGAAAGTATAAATTGTATGGTTTCAGATACATCTTTGTGATAAGAATTGACTAAGGCAAGTGGAATCTTTGTGCTTTTTTAGGTTTTGCTGTATGCATATTTTATTTTGCATCTAATAAAATTAGGGACAGCAAGCAGTTGGCTGGGGTTCTTGGGTTGCTCCTTGAGAGTTAATATTATCAGTACTCTCATGAAGCAAGGGATTTCAGTCATGAGCAAAGATTTCATTTTTGCCACCTGAAAGGTGTACACAAGTATTTATTGTATATTTGGTATGTTGCTTAAAGGTGAAATCTGTAAAAGATCCTTTTTGATACCCATATCAAGGAAGAAACTTCCTAGAAACCATATTTAATACTAGAGTGAAATTATATGTTAAATGTATTAGAGAATATAGCTGCTACAGAAATGCATTTTTTTTCTTCGTGTGGAACAACTCAGTTTTGCAAAGTTTAAAATTTAACTAAAGAAGAGATCTGATTCAGGAAAAAAATATTGAACTAATTAGAAAACTAGATTGGGATATGATCAATTCCAAGAGCTTTTGCTCAGTTTTTTTTTATATCCTATGTTTTGTCTTATTAGTAAACATTAATTTGTAACAAAGTTTTGAAGGTGCTGAATGGAAAACAGAAACACATGGTTATTGCATATTGAACCTAGAATCAAATAATTGCCTAAATATTTAACAAAAAGCCATTCTTAGAGATTTAAATCCTTTAATATCTGATTTGCAAATTTTATAAAATGGAGGTTCTTATTTAGCATGAGCATCAGGGGAGTAAGGAGCTTTTGTTTATAACCGGGTAAATTGTTACGGATACCAATAGTAGTTGTATAGAATACTAAGATAAACTGTTACAGTGTTTGAGGAAATGGAGTCTCTTTTTCACTGCTACTGAGAGAGGACTTAAGTAGAAGACAGTTGCGTCTGAATATTAAATACAAATAATCTAAACCAGTGGTTCTCAACCTTAGCTATACTTTGGAGTCATAGGCATTTTGAAAAATATTGATACTTGGGTCCCATACCCTAAGATTCTGTTGTTGGTCTGGGGTATGACATGACCATAAGGATTTTAAAAAACTTCTTAGATGATTTCAGTATGTTGCCAAGGCTGAGAACCACTGATCAAAATTCACCTTAAGTTATCTCATCTGCAAAAAAAATCCTTGCTCCCTCTCTCCACTACCTCATAAGGATATTGAGGGTAAAGAAGAAAATAATGGGAAAGTGCTTGTGCTGTGGATAAAAAGTGCTATTGAAAGGCAAAGTTGTATTTGTTGTATTTCAACTGAAACTGTGATCAGGAAGAAATGTGTAATTGGATCTGCTCTGTTGACTTGGGAAACCAGGAGCACTCTCTTTGGTTCTTAACTTTAGTGAAGCATGCGGATGGGTAAGAAAACATTACTCTTATTCATACTATGGTCTTCTGTCATACTTGAGATAGACTGGTTTAATTATCTGGTTTCACACAGGAAAGAAGAAATATTAAGGTTTAAAGTCTGTAATGGTCAATGGCTCACAATTCATTAAAACTTTTCATACAAAGAGTTCTGTGGTTAATATATATCATTTCTTAGTTGCCATTATTTTTTCATTGTCTGACCTTTGAATGTTAAACCATTGATTTCATCTCCTTCATTCTTACTCCTATAATTTTGGATATAGATTTGATAAGGCATGTAAAGCAAGTAGGTATTGCTCAGTTGAATACTGAAAAATTGTGGTTCTATGATTAGGCATCTTCTGCCTTTTAGATATGATTTGATCAGAGAAAGAGTTTTGAAAATAATGGAGCCCTAACCCACATAGTAGGTATTATAATTAACTTTTTATTTATGTCCCCAAACTGCTGTTTATATAGACTGTAATATTTATATTTTTGATTGCTTCAAAAAATGAACAGTTTGATAAGATAGAAACTTGAGTTTTAAAGATCAGTATTGAGATTACTTTCTAGAAATTAAGACCACCACAGTCAGAACCACTATAAAGCCTTCTGAGAAGGAACAGTCCATACACAACCCAAATGTTATTCTAGTAAAGCATTCCTCAGTTTCTCTAGCTGAATGTAATCTCTTCTTCCTTGAAATTTCCTAGTCTTTGTATTTATCTATACATAACTCATGCTGTATTACTTTATAACTTGTATAAATTTATTTATATTTATTATTTGTTGATATCTTATCTTCCCTAAACACATTAAGAAAGAATCTCTGATGGACTCACATGTCATCAAACCCAGTAGGCAGGGAATTGCATATTGCATATTTGCTATAGGAAGAAAACACCTTCTCTGAATTTATAGGCTATAATAACAAAAGATAGATGAGAAAAATTTTTGTATCCTGTCCAAATTTTTGTATTCTGTCCAAATCTGAGGCTTTGAAGGAAGAAATAGTGACTGTGAATGCATTTTAGCCATTCCCCTTTACTTTTGAATATTGGTAAACTCTGCTATTTAGTTCTTGGTGTAGATTTCTTATTTGTTTAGAATTAAAATTAGAATTCTGTATATTAATTTTTTGAAATTCTTCTTTGCTTTAGTTTCTTAATAAAAGTTTAAACAAACTAACTATTTGTGATTGCTTACATTTAAAACAAGGAATTTTTTTATACTTTGGTCAGAAAGAAAAGCAGGATACCTTCATAGCCAAATTTGTTGATGGAGTTTACCTATAAATTCCATGTTTTTTAACAATGGAATCTGCATTTCCCACGTTTGAAATGGAACATAGACAGTAGGGAATAGTAATTCACTAGGATCCTGTTTTGCTGTCACCTCCACCCCCAGCTAACAGTTGTTTGGTAATGCAGTTGTTCTCCAAAAGTTATAAGAAGTACAAGAAGCAGGAATGGCTGAACAAATGGCTCCTGTGATCCAAAAGCTTACAAGAATCAGTTGATCATGTTGCTAAAAGTTGCCTGATGTCTTATTAATAATATGTTACAATTAAAGAGTTTTAATTTTCTAAGGGAAAATTCAGTAGGTGCAGAACTTCTGTATTTATCCTTTTGTTTAGTGGGAAGAGATACCAGGAACAGCTTAACCAGTCTGTTGTCTTAATTTCTTTTATGAATCTTCCCCCAAGCCATTTGCTTTTTATTTAATGTATTCATTAAAAAATTGTTGAGAGCAACATGTTCTATGCTTTTCAGAATGTGGTTTGTTAAAAGAATTAGCCCCTCAAGATTTAAGATTGTCATCATTCAGCTTGTGTGTATAGGATTTCACAATGAATGAGTGACTCAAGAAGCAAGAATCATTTAGGGAGTTTTTCTTAGGTCACTCTGTTGACAGTCCTTAATTTCTGTTTTTTTTTTTAAAGAAGAAAACATAAGAGAAAGATAGGGAAATCAAGTCCTGTCTATTCTGTGGTAGACACCTAGGAAGCTGTATTGTCTTCCTTTTCTTTATAAGTGAAATGGAGGATAAAATTGAGTAATGGGAATAGTTGTGAGGTCCTATCTCCCTTGAGAAAGGCTCCTGAAATAATTTTATTAAAATGCTAATATCCAATTAGGTTAATTAGAAACATATTGTAATAGAAGTAGGCCAGATATCT